CATTCATTATTCTCATCAGGATACGCTTTACTTTTAATGTCATCAGGATATAACAATTTTCAATCATCATCAAGTCCTAAAATTGCAACCCATGCAGTAGAGCGAATCATCCATACGGCTACACAATAATTGGCCTTTGGAGTCATGATAAAGTCACAAAAACTCTTTCAACCTCGACCACATAGCTTCAATACTGTTTATGTTCACAAAATGCTACTTGTGGATTCCGACACGATGCACATAACCAAGTCTATGCAGGAGTTCGTACGCTCCCCAATGATTCGTATATATTGTAGTACCTGGTTGCAGCCAGTGTTACTGGTGCTTTTATTATCCAGTTCACAATAATTGTCGTAATTTTCCGTAGTTAGGAATTATATATGGGGCTTTCATCACGAACTAACATCAGCTATAATGCCAGAAATTTATTTAGTCAAATGGATGAAAGGCTTTCACGTTAAAATCCGAGATCTATTATCTTATACCTGATTGATTCGTCCACAAATTATAGTCTCGCCGTTTTATTTGTTATAGCCGCTCAATTATAACTTCCTGTACAAAATTCCCTGTGAACCGTTTGTACGTTAACATTAACCACTGAAGTTGGCGGCGTAACCTTGAAATCTTTCAAACGCTCGTCTATAAATTAGAGTCTCGCCGTAAGAGAATAATCTAACAACCATAATGTTTTCATTTGAGTTTTCCTCAATCTACACATACATATATACATAGATTCATAATAATAGATTGTAAGCCAATGAAGACAGAGCATGTGCGTACATACCATTAAACATTCAAAATACATTTAAAACAAGAAAGTGAATTCCAAACATTTACACTTTGATCAAATCTACAGCTCTTCTATTTGATGAGTATTTTTAATCAATAAATGATCTTATCACTGATCACATATTATTATCAAAAATCAATTTTATAATCAATATTTCAATTACAAACCATTTGATACATATATGTGTGTTATGATATTTAACCAGTTAATTAATATGATATTGACTTAATCGCTACTTATATGATGTTAACATTGTGCCAACAACAATGACATATTGACCATTACGAGTAGTCTAGAGTCCTTATTGATCCTTTTTCCATCCTAGTCTTGCCTGTTAAGTTCACAATACCAATATTAACCTCTGTGATATGAATTATGTATTTCAGACATACTGGGTTAATATTACCAACCAAACAGATCGCATCATATCATAAAATAGGAAATAACATTTATACACGATATTAACCAAAAGTGGCTGTAAATATGGGATATTGTAATTAGTGTAAACTGGATATAATTCAAATCGTCTAATAATAGTCTATGTGTCAAAATGAAGCTAATAATAACAGGGATATGAATATACACAATCTAGTTACTCAATAGTCATAAAACAGGAATATATAGATAATATTAGTCCATTAATGGTTGTCAGAAGTTACCCGTAGTTTAATGTTCACTAGGATATAACAATGTAATTCTTGAATAATTACAGTTTGAATGTGTGTTTAAAATAGAGGATTATTGCAATAATTCACAAATAATATTAGGAATCCCTTACCTCTGTAAAAGTTATATCAATGAATGAAATTGTCATTCAGTTTGTCCCTTTTTTTTCCTATGGATGAGAGGTCCAAGGCGTTGCGTTCAAATCACAGTCCACTCTGTGAGCGTAAGATCAAATCCCATTCCTGACACTAGAATCTATGAAATTATGAAAATGAGAAGTGATAATGAATAAAATACGTTAATAATTCAACTGCTGTTTATAATCATGATGCAGTTGTGTTGATGATCATCTCTATTAAATCAATGTAACTGGAAACAAAGAGAATCGGAGGGTTTATTTTTGAGTTAAACAATACTCAGATTAACTTTTATATGAAAAAGAATCTACTAATCTGATTATTCACTTGGTATTGTTTACTTGTATCTCTCCATTGTTGTTTAGGACTGATCAATTATTCAGTCTCTTATTGAGATATGTGCATACTGTGTGTATTGCCTCGATATTGCCCTATGTAGGTAAGCGAATAACGTGTTGGCGTTTGAAGCAAACAGTACTGGGTTCGAGTCCTAGAGTGAATATTAACTCTGAGATGCAAATACATCCAGCTGACGAGTCTCAAACAAGACGACACGCATATTCTGAAATCCATTACTGGCTATCATCCATGTTTGCTTATATATCTGATTATTATTTACATTGAACAATCGTCAAATTTGGAATAAAAAGTTGTGTGTTAAAGATGTTAACTAATCTATATATTTAATTCAAGCTACGAAAAATATCCGAAAATAACTTGTCCTCCATTATCTTGGGTATATAAGAGAACATGGAAATGATAATAATAAATCACTAATACTTGTTTCCTTTAAATTTCAGCACTCTCCAAAAATATTCACCCTTGAATCTTGAACCTGGTATACTGAAGGTTTTGTAAATGATACAATATATAGTAAACGATTTAAATATGTTAACTGTATCCCATTCATAATATAACGTTACTTAATTACTTACGCCTATTACTCCTCGTCAAGGAGCATAGGCCACTCACCAGCACTCTCCATCCAACCCTGTCCTGTTCTAGCTCCTTCCAGTTGTTATTCGTCCTTTTCATATCTGCTTCTACTTACCGATGTAATGTGTTTTTAGACCTTCCTCTTTTCCGACATTAAAAAGAAGAATATATTTGTAAAATCTCAGCGAATGAATTTTAAGTAAATCCAACGTTTCGCCTGGCAATCTGGTCCAAGCTTTTAATGTCTCAAATGAACTCGGCGCCCAAATATTGTGAAACTATTCGTTTAAATTTAGACGAAAGTTCTTATTTACTTCCTCTTTTCCGTTTCAATTCAGGATTCCAAGTTAGGGCTTGCCTCGTGATGTAGTTTGGTGATTTTTGTAATGTATGTCTTATCCATTTTCAATGTCTTTTTCTAATTCTCACTTCTTCTGGAAGCTGGTTTGTTTACTTCAACAGTAGGCTGTTATTAACGGTATCCGGCGAATGAATGTTGAGTATCTTGCATAGACAACTATTTATAAATACTTGTACCTTCTAGATGATTGAAGTAGTTCTCCATGTTTTAGCTGCATACAGTAAAACTGTCTTGACGTTCGTATTGAAGATCCTCACTTTGATATTGGTTGACGGACAGTTGTTTTGAGTTGAACATGTTTTTCAATTATTGAGATGCTGTCCTTGCATTTTAAAACCTCGCTTTTACGTTTGCATTATATCCTCCTTGTTAATCGATGATGCTTTTTGACTACGTGAAGGATTCTACATCTTCTAGAGTTTCGAAATCAAGAGTGATTGGATTGCTGTTCTCCGTTTTGAATTTGAGGATCTTGATTTTTCCTTAGTGTATGTTGAGGCCTATTGATGAAGAGGTTGCTTCAGCTGTTGCACTATATAATTAATTATGATTTGTAACAATATACTGTACTTTTGTGTCCATCCAATATATATCACTTCTTTCTCTTACAAATCATTTACCTCTTTAAATTCACTGATGTCCGCCTTAAATTATTTTCGGAATTATACAATTGTTGAACAATGAGAATATAATTAGATATACATCAATCATTGATATGAACAATGATTAATATATTTATGCACTTGGATAGTTATATAAATCATGGAAGAATAGGTGCAAGTGAAATTCATTAGTATTATTTTGTTCAATGAGACTAGAATTTATGAACAACCATTGAGCAAAGTTAGACTGACCTTAAAAGTCTCTACCTGATAACTAGAACCAAATAAATGTTATAAATTAATGTGAGGAATTAAAATTATCATGCACTAATCCAATCACAATTGACGGAGAAGATTTGGAAGATGTAAAAACCTTTGCATATCTGGGCAGCATCATTGATGAACATGGTGGATCTGATGCTGATGTGAAGACGCGGATAGGTAAAGCTTACTTACGTCTGTTACTCCTAATGGAGCATAGGCCACCGACCAGCATTCTCCAACCCATTCTGTCCTGGGCCTTCTTTTGTAGTTCCATCCAATTCTTGTTCATTTTTCTCATGTCTATTTCCATTTCCCGGCGTAATGTGTTGTTTGGTCTTCCACTCCTCCTCCTTTGACCTTGAGGATTCCATGTGAGGGCTTGTCTTGTGATGCATTTGGGTGCTTTTCTCTTCCACTTCCAGAGCTTCTTCCTGATTTCTTCCTCCACTGGATTCTGGTTTGTTCTCTCCCATAGTAGGTTATTGCTGATATTGTCTGGTCAATAGATCCGAGGTATTTTTCATAGACAAATGTTAATAAACACTTTATCTTATGGATGATGGTTTTCGTAGTTCTCCAGGTTTCCGTACCACTCAGTAGAAATGTCTTGATATTTGTATTGAAAATCCTGACCTTGGTGTTGGTTGACAATTGTTCTGAATTCCAGATATTCTTCAGTATTAAATATGGTTTTATAGCTTTTCCGATCCGTGGCTTCAGATCTGCATCAGATCGATCGTGTTCAACAATGATGCTGTCCAGATATGTAAAGGTGTTTACATCTTTCAAATATTCTCCGTCAATTCCTATAAAGGAAAATCAATTTTTTTGAAATGTAGATACATCCAGCTGACCTAATCCTAAATAAGATTCCACTATTTACTACTATCCATGTTTTACTTGTTGAATAACAATATAATGAATTAGAATTCAATTTTCTAAAATGAATAAGAATAATGATAAATAAAATAAATTTAAAACTAAAATTTGAAAAGAAAAACAAATTTTTACAACCAATCAACATTACATAATATAACCTTGAATATTTTAAACCAATCAGAAAGCAGTTATATGGATAATGACCTTGTCCAATGAATTTTCAATGAATAGTCAAAAGAATGAATGATCATTCTAATGTAAATTATTATTATTATTATTATATAATTAGAATCTATTATATTAATGTATATAATTTTATATATTGGATATTGTTATTATTTTAGTAAATTAATTCAACATTATTCATGTCATCAGAACTTGAACCGCATATATTGAAACGTTATGAAATTGAGAAGAGAATAGGAAAAGGTGTAAGTGAGCAAACGTGTTAGTTTTATTATTTTAACATATAAACTGTTAAGTAATAATTATTATAAGCAAAGGTGAATAATGGTTAGCAATCGAATCTAGGACTCATGTTTCTTCCTATTTGGAACTCGTCAGCTGTATGTACTTGCATCTCATGAGTTAATGTTCGTTCCTGGACTCAAACTCAATACCGTTCATTTCAAACGTTATCGTGTTATGCACTTAGCTACTGATTGATGATAGTCACTTGTTTGTGCAATGGAGTGAAGTTTTAATTCAATTGACATCATTTGTTTTGCTACTATTCATCTTTGCATATAATGCTTGTGAGTTAAAGTAATATCATGGTAATACGCACAGGATGCATATATATCAATAAAAGACTGATCAGTTGATCAATCTTAAACATCAATGGGACGATTCAAGAAAACAATATCAAGTGAATTCATTATGTATTAATTATTGTTTGTAAAAATGTTTGGCACAATTTCTTATGAACCAATGTTAGTGAACTATATATTCATTGATTGTAACAAATTCACTATTCATATAGTTATGTATAGATAGATTTAATGAGCTAATTGACATAGGTACTTTTTTGTAAACAACCATATAAACTACTATATTCACTACTTAAAAAGGTTTACTTTCCTTGAGATATATCATTCTATTCTGTTTCAGTGTTCTATATGAATCATTCTAATTGTCTGATTTAACCGGTTACTGATTTGGTTCAATCTATAAAATGGTATCTTTACATTGATCAACATGGTTCTGGTTGTACAGTTCTTTACAATCATAAAAATATTGTAATTTCGCATTTATGGTTTTTAAAATGAGGTAGCTTAATAGTTTATCGAACAATTTATAAATCTAATGACTAAAATCATGAGTCAATTGAAACTAGACCATTATGGGAAACTTGGAAGCATTGGATGGCTGTTTAGTCCTATTGCGCAGTGCTAAAGTGTCCCACATTAGGATGAAATGACCGTTCGATATTTTCAGGTCTTCTATGATGATCTAGCTTCGATTGACTCATGATCTTAACCATTAAAATTACTATACTATCCACGAAACCTCTTCTGAATTTAATTTGTAAATCTTTTGAAGTATATACACAGTTGTATCATTGTACAAAAATGACTTCATAAATGATCAGTGTAAAGCATTTATTATAGGGGTGTCTCTGTTTTTCTCCACAACAAATATACAAAATGAACCTTAATGGATCGCTTACCCCATTTTCATTGATAATAGGACATTATACTTCAATATGTGGTCTAACTTACAAATGTAAATTTTCATTTATAATCTAACAATGGTCAGCTTTAGATATTATTCAATGTTTACTATAATCGGGAGTGAAGAAAGAAAGTCATTACATTGTACTTAAATGCTTTATCATACTGTAGTGAACAAGAACACAAACGGGAATAACCAAATGTATTCAGACACAAAATTATAAAATTCCTTAGTGAAATCTGTGAACTTTACAGTAAACACTTGATGTGTAAAATGTTAATCAATCGTCTCATACTTCATTATTCCTTCGCTTCCACATCAATCATTCTCTATTCTTATTCTCTTTTATTCTATCTTCTTAACCTTCTCCTATCAGGCATTTCACATTCAATTGATGTTACATATTACTTATATCTGTCGACATCAATAGCACACACCAAAATACATCTCATACCAAATCTGTATCCCATTTGTATAAAACATCGAATTTCAATCCTTAAACCAGTTGTTTAAATCAATCTTGACTTGCTAAAATTTAAGTGACTAATTAGGATTATTGATTATGTGTTTTAGTGCAATACACTTAACTACATTAAGTTATCAATGTGAGCATTGCAGTGGACGAGAATTCAGTTGGTGACAACCACTTTTTTATATAAAATGTAAAAACCATACATTGAATACTTCATTTATAAACTTCCATCAATTGTTCTTTACATTCTTCATGATTATTCTAGTTCTAACTTCCTTTATGTTTCGTTATCTGTTGCGAAACTGCTAATCATTCAATAATAAATATTTCCTGTTATATATCAATGAATAGAAAAATAATATTTCCAACGTTTCGTGAGTTAATGTAAGTCACTTCTTCAGAGTAGAATTCGATTATTTATTTGCTTTGAAGAAGTAGTTTTAAATGAAGTTACGAAACATCGGAAATACAATTATTTCATTCCTTGTGATATGACAGAAATACACATATATTACTATTATCGTTTTACTCAATACTCAATTTGTTTGAAAGTATCAAGTCCAACCTTGGCATTGACATGTAAATGACTAATCAATATCCGTCTCATTCTAGTTTAAAGCGTTTTAATAGTGCACAAATATGAGCTCATAGTGTATTCATTAGTGGTGATTTCCAACTATTCACGAACCTATTTCTCTATTCATTTTAGAAAGTTATTTGAATATATTTAAGGTTATTTTACTTTTACTGAAACATATGCTTATATCTTAAAACAGAACTAATCATGGAACTAATAGTATGTGATTTAGAAATTAATAAAAGACACAATTACCCGGTAAATTATAGTTTAGAATTGATTGAAGTTAGACATTAACACGGTTGTATGCCTGCCACCTCATTAGTCTAGTGGTTAGGTATTCTCATGCGACGAGATCAAACATCCTGGATTCGAATCCCGCGTGCAGGATCGTGGATACTCACTTTCGAATAATTCTATGTTAGAACAAAATGCTTATCCAATGCGTCCAGGTTTTCCATGATGGTCTAGCTTAAATCGACTCATGAATTCAACTATTCATTTTAGAGATATATTGACAAACCTTTATATCATAAGTGAATTTTTTAAATATGATTAAAGTTATCAATCTGGATAAAAATAATAAAACCAAACAGGCTCTGTACCATCTTATTTTATCGGGGAAATCTTGAACACTTTGGAAATGAGTAGCTCCAAGTACTTAATTAAGTTACTGTCATTATACTGAGAGTAAGTCAGTCTATTCAAACGTCTAAACTAACATTCTTTCTAAATGGTGATAAATCCCTATATATATATTCGATTCTCTTTAATTTAATAATCCCATTTAACATATGGGTATGTATAGTCGATGCAATAAATAGTGTACAACTTAAATACTATGAAACTTATGTAGGACTATGTAAGTGGTATGTTTTTATTTTTTTGGTGAGACTATAATTTATGAACAACTTTTGAGAGATGTTAAAATGACTTTGAGAGTGCCCACCGAATAACTAAAACCAAATGAGGATTATAAACCAGATTGAGAAATTAGAATTAAGATTTACATTTGATGGGTAGGTTACAGAAATTAAGTTTATAATTTTCATCACCAAAGGACACCAGATAAAATGCCAAAACGTTATTTAGACAAGTGAATGAATGAATTTCTCGTTGAAATCTAAGACCTATTTTCATAAATCTGATTGGCTCATCCATAAATTATAGTGTCGCCGTGTTTCGTACTGACAAGTGCCAACTAACATAAAAAAGAAAAAAATCGAGCAGGGTATTCAACTGATTACCTCCAACTAGCTAACATTTCAACAACTTTCTTTTATTAATGTTAAACTAATAATAAAATGTATGTTAGTACTTTATTTGGAGACAAAATTTATAACGGATTATTATCATTAGCCATTGAATTTAAATAAATAGTTTCATTATGCTTACTATTCACAGTTTAGGTTGAAAGGATTGTCACTTGACATATCTTAATGCCTTATTAAACATCGGTATATTTAATTTACAAGAAATATCAAATTAAAGTTCAGTCAGTCAGTCAGTCAGTCAGTAACAACGTAGAACTTCGTACGTACAAACATCAGTTCGAATTACTATACCACAATAGAAAAGAGATGTATTTGTCGATTCAAATCTCATAGTGGTAGACATAGTAAAGTTATTAACGTTGTAAGTTAATCACTTAATCCTCCAAAAAAATTTTTATTCAATGGTAATATGTAGCACAATTACGAAATAAAGTTTCATTACTACAGACATTTACTTACTTGCTTACTTACTTACTCCTGTTACTCCTCGTGAAGGAACATAGGCCGCTCACTACCATTCTACATCCAACCCTGTCTTGGGCAATCCTTTCTAGCTCCTTCCAGTTGTTATTCGTCCTTTTCATATCTGCTTCTATTTACCGATGTGATGTGTTCTTTGGCATTCCTCTTTTCCGCTTCCCTTCCGGATTCCAAGTTAGGGCTTGACTCGTGATGCAGTTTGGTGATTTTTGTAATGTATGTATTATCCATTTCCAATGTCTTTTTCTAATTCCCACTTCTGCTGGAAGCTGCTTTGTTCACTCCAACAGTAGGCTGTTGCTTATGGTATCCGGTTAATGGATGTTGAATATCTTGTATAGACAACCATTTATAAATACTTGTACCTTCTTGATGATAGTTGTAGTAGTTCTCCAAGTTTCAGCTCCATACAGAAGAACTGCAGACATTTACTGGTTGTAAATTTAGCAACAGTCTGTTATCATAAGGAATTTTTAAAAAAAAGCTTATGAACTAACCTTACCTAAACATACATCAGGAAGCATTATACATCTGTATCATCCATGTACAACACTGTTCCACAGTAGTCCTTATATACAATTCCATCAAAAGGGGTTGAATCCAATAACTTGAAATTTTGTGAAAGGAGTTCAACTTTTGGATGACAGAAGTGAAATTTATTAATTTATATTTGTAATAAAATTCAATTAAAAAACATTAAGCAACCTTATTCTAATTACATAGATTAACAATGTTTAAGGTGTATTATAATGATTTCAATATTTGTAAGACATATACAGTGATTCTATGATTTTACTTCACACTCTTTTAATTATTCTCTATCTTTAACTATTTGGATTGTGACCAACAGTGAAATTGCAGGTGGTCTAACGTCAATCGGTTCATGATCTCAATCAAAAACTTAATAATAATTAATATGTGCTCACTAGTGACTAGTTTCGTGAGGGAATTCTCTGAGTTTTAGTGAGAAGCCGTGACCATGTCGGGTGAAGACAGGTATTTACCTCAGTACAATGGAGGATGATTACGCGATTTTGTGGATTGATTGACGTTAGACACTATCACCATTGGATGCCAACTCAGGTGTCCAGTAGGTTAAATGTTCACGCGCGAGACTGAAGGCCCTGGGTTTTAATCCCGCTGGCGGGGTCGCGGATGCACACTGCTGAGGAGTCCCACAATAGGACGAAACGGCCGTCCAGGGCTTCCAGGATTCCAAAGGTAGTCTAACATCAATCAGTTCATGATCTCAATCAAAAACTTAATAATCTCCACTATCTCTATACTAGTATATTAATAATTGAAGAGAGAAGCCTTTGGATTCAAATCTCAGTGTTGAACATTAAGATGAAGATAAATCTAGCGGATCGATAAGGATTAAGACGTAACATGTGCCTTGGATTTCACTATTGGTCGCAATCAAACTATGAAATTTATCAATGATAAGGTGAATATTTTTCGGAAATCAGATAACTTGTTCCACAATTTCTAAGTGACAGATTGAAATGATATTGATCGTATTATTAATTTAAAATAAAGCGAGACTATAATTTATGGACGATAACAGATCCTGGATTTCGGCGTGAAATTCACCCATCTATTTGGGTCAATAGAGTCTTGCTATTATAGCTGATATCAGTACGTGATGAAAATTATAAGCCTAATTTCTAACCCTAATCATAGATTGTAAATCATAATCCTTCTTCTTTAAACTGTTTTGTAGCTCATATTTAGCGCTAATAAGTAGGTAGACACACTCAATGTTAATTTGGCATCGATATTAGGTCGTTCACAAATTGTAGTCGCTTCAAAAAACGCATATGTAAACTATGATATTGACTAGAATTGGTTGCAATGTCTCTTTTTAATTCTTTATTATACTGTTCAAGGAAGTCATTCTGTTGAAGAAATTCAGAAAATTCCTCAAAAAAAAGCCAAAAAACGGCTAAACGTTGAAAAACGTTTCATGCAATCAGCATTCAATAGAACTCTTGTCAGAAACATCTAGAAAGTGAAAAATAACATGACGTGTTTTTGATTGGATGATTACTTATACTGCTACTATGTTTAGTGGCGCTCCAGAAATTTCCGGAAGCTTAAATCCATCTTAAATATGATAAATATCCTAGATTTTCTGTACATAAACAAACCTTGGAGTAAAGTATTTCTTCCTTATTTCGCGCTTTTTCTCTCATGTTCAAGTCTTTGTGTAGATTTAGCCTGAGGGTTACTAGAAGAGCTTTGAAACCGAATCTAGAATTCAATTAGAAGGCTTATCATATTTTTTCTATTTGAATCAGACCGTCTCCTAATTTGTTACTTGTCCTTCAACTCATGTTTCTGATGTAGTGTGGCAACTTGGAACAAGGCATAGATGTGACAGGTACTATGTTTCTTATGACTGAATAACTGAAAATGACCTAGATAATAAGGAAATCAAAAGATTATGATTTTTTCATGAACAATTGTCCATACTAAATAAATAAAACTTTTAAGCATAGAATGAAATCATAAGATGAATTACTGTTGTTAAACTTTATAACCTGGTCTAGAGGTTAAGCGTTCGCACGCGAGACTGAAGGTCCTGGTTTCGAGTCTCGCGAGCGGGATCGCGTATGCCCATTGCCAAGGAGGAGTCCCATAATAGAACGAAACGACCATCCAGTGCTTCCAGGTTTTCAATAGTGGTCTAACATCAATCAAAAACGCAATAATTTCAACAACCCTATACTGATAAATTTTATTCTCTGAGCTGGATGGTTTGATCTTGGAGATTTAATCAATCTTCTGAACAACATCGTTAGCGCAAACTTCAGCTATCTGAAGTTGTTGCTGTTCAAAAGAACGATGAAAGCTCCACAACCAAACCATCTAGCTCAGAGAATAAAACTCCTTCAAAATCATTCACTTGAGTTACAAATCCTTTCCTTTTAAAGTTAAAAGCACTTAGGTTAAAATGAACAAGTAAACTGGTAGATTTAAATAGGCCGTTGCCTGTCCCTTGTAGTGTTGGTTACTATGTTAAGTCCATATACCTTATCTTAGGTTCTGGACAGGCACGTTTTTCATTTTTCGTGAGTAACGTTTTGACCTTGTTAATTATTCGCTTATCAACCCTGACTGTTTTTATGTGAGCATTTGTGTGTACACTTATCATATTCATTACATGTCTGTAACTTGTTTTTGTGCGATTATAAATACCGATTAACATTCGATTAAATTGAGTTGGCTCACACGCCATCTCCATTGAGCGTCATTTTGCTTCACTCTCTTCTCTTAGCTTCATTCCCTGATTGCCTGTTCAAACCAATGAATGCATGAAATATACATATTCAAAATTCATTCTCCTATTTAGCTTATTTAATTCCGTTATTCACTAACGCGACTTATGTCGATAATTTTATACGAGGATAGCCAGAATGTATATTTTTAACAACAACGATATAACTGAAGCCAGATCCCGGGCCACTATACTTTGCTTTTAACTAGCATACGATGACATATTCCAGTGTGTTTCTACAAAAGTTAGTTGTTCTATGCTTAAATATGTGATCGATACTAATCACTCAACTGATTCATAAGTCCATTTTAAGGTTATTTTCAGAAATTGTCCAATCGATTACGATTCCTTCATATTTTACTTCTTAAAACAGAATCTCTTGTCATCTATGAAATGTAGTCTGATCTGTGTGTACAAATGAAGTAAGAATCGGTAATTACGTAACATGTATTGTTTCTGCTTCTGAGAAAACAGTTTACAATTCATCGGCAAATCGATACAAGTTAATCAGGATGATTTTGAAATTTAGACTGAATATATACTCATTAGGGAAATATCTTCTGTTTCCAAGTTTATTGTCATTTCGATGAATAAAATCATAATTTCACACAAACCTTCACATAGTATAACTACCAGTTTACATTGTTTGTGTCAATATATATTGATAGAAATGACTATAGTATCTAAAAAAAGGGTTGTGGAATACGCAAGTGAATGAGCTCAGAATCAGTTATTGTCAAGCACTAGGGCTATCGAATTGAAACTCCTTGTTAGCCAAGCAAATAACCACAACATTTAAAGCGCTGTATGGATATTATCAGAGGTTTAACCTTAGATTTTCTTAACCTATGAGTATTAGAAATTTCAATCTTCCTTTGTGTATGCAGAAACAATTTGGTCTTATGAAAATGCTTTATATTTTCCGCATTATATAATCACTCTCTCTTCCATTTCCAATTAACACCTTGTTTCGCTTGGCAATCTGGTCCAAGATTTTTCAAGGAAATATATCTCCTTGAATATATTCCCTTGAAAAAACTTGGTTTTTATTAGCATTAACAATGTTACCATTTCCGCAACCCTTGGATTTGCTTCAATAGTTTTGTCTGTTTGTGCTTATACACATAGTTTCCTTTATCATTTTGCCTGTGCTTATTTGATATGGTGAATTGATTTAAAGAACGCATGGGTCAGATTCTGCGCTGCTTATGATTGAAGCATTCAGAACAAGATAAACATCACGCTTATTATTATTATTATTATTATTATTATTATTTATTATTAACTCACAATGAATATCTCAGTCATTTGAAAGATGGTTCATGACCTAAATAGGTAAGTGGTGGCAACACTGACTATAACACTGGCTAACATTGATTCGGATATCAAGTTAACATCATTTCACCCAAGTATTTTAGTAGTAAGTTATTTAAACTTATTTTTAATTTCATGTAATATCCGGGATTTGTACTGATAAAGAAGCTCTTTAAACTAAGACGAAACAGATATTTTGCATTTAAATAACGAACATAGTGGATTCCCAAGACGCACGTTTCCATCTGCTTGGAACTCATTAAATAGATGTATCTACATTATGCTGTTGATATTGACATCAGCGCTAGAAATCGATTGTAACGCTTAAAACGCCAGATGGATTATCCATTGAGCTACTGAGTCATCTTGTTGTCAATAGTTCCCTATATCATCACGTCTATATATCATCACATAATTTTTCACTGATTCACTTTCTCTTTATTTCATTAATGTATTTTAGGCATATGGAATAGTATGGAAAGCGATCAATCGAAAGACAAAAGAAGTTGTCGCCCTGAAAAAAAATTTCGATGCATTTCGTAATCAAACAGATGCTCAAGTTAGTGAAATACGACTATTATTTATATATTTTTTAAACAATATTTCGTCTTATGCAAAAATGGATAATGACTAGCAGTGGAATTCACGATGCGCGTTTCGTCATATTTGGGGCTCTTTACCTGGATGTGCCTGCATCACAGAGTTGATATTCACCCCGAGACTCGAACCCTGTAATGAAGGACCATCCAGCTGACGAGTTCCAGTTAGGACGAAACATGCGTCCTAGATTCCACTGTCCATCTTTCTTTATAATGTTCATGATCTTAGGCAGTATCGAGCCAATCCGAACAGGATGTGCATATGTTAATAAGAGACTGATCACTTGCAATCCTAAACATCTGTAATAATCACAATCAACTATTTTATTATTTGTATACTAACTATAATTTAGACACCTAATCCACTATGTAAATTCATGTGTGAGTCTCATTGAGCTGAACGCGTATATGTACATCAATCTCTAATCTATTCTCCCATTTATTCTAATACACAGACTATTAATAACTTATCCACAATCGATTAGCACTCATTAATAAATGTGGATTTTTAACACGCACGCACACACGCTCTCTTACTTGTTTCCCTGTGTGTTTGTTATCAGCACACTTGCGGATTTTACTAATCTTTAACAATAAACTGTCTCTATAATTGGTGTTGGGGCCTTTGAATAATCTCGAGTAAATCCATAATTCAACTAGGAGATTTAGCCTGTGTTAAAGACTCAATTAACGGGATATTATTTATTGGAGTCAGATATAGAGGAAATTAACCTCCTACACATCAGTAGTATGATTTAAGCATACAATACAAAATGAATTTACTATATCGTTTTGTCTTTTGTTTGTTTGTTTGTTTGTTTCATTTTCCTCATCTATATTACTCTCTCTCTTCCATTCACTTTCATAGAGAACATTTCGTGAAATTGCATTTTTACAAGCATTTGGTAATCATCCAAATATTATCGGTTTATACAATGTAATACGAGCTGAATGTGACAAGGATATCTACTTAGTATTTGAATACATGGGTAAAAAAATGAATTTATTGATTGAACATATAAATTTTCATAATTGAAATCATGATTCAATTGAACCTAGACAAACATAGAAAACCTAGAAGCACTGGACGGCCGTTTCGTCCTATTGTGGAACTTCTCGGCAGTGCGCATCCACGATCCCGACTCATGAGATTTGAACTCAGGGTCTACTGGTCTCGTGCGCGAACACTTAACCCCTAAACCACAATAGGGTTAATGTCTAACTTCAACTAATTTACGAAATGGAATGTGACATCCACCAATAAGGTCCTGGGTTCAAACCTCGCTAGACGGCCGTTCAGTGCTTACAGGTTTACCATAGTGGTCTGGCTTCAATTGACTCATGATCTCAACTATTAAAATTACTTTAATATCCACAAAACCCCTTCTGATATAAATTTTCTCTTTTTTATAATTCAATTTGATAGAGACAGATTTACATAATGTAATTCGTAAAGGGAACATTTTGAAAGATATACACAAACAGTATATTATGTATCAATTATTTAAAGCAACTGCATATTTACATTCTGGGGAAGTGATTCATCGAGATTTAAAGGTGAGTTTAATCAAAAAAATATGAAATAAATTTCTTTTATTTTCTATACATAATACAAAACTTCGTGAGGGAATTCTCGGAGTTCTACTGAGTGGCCATGACCAGTGTAGCTAGTCCGTTTCGGGTAGGGACAGGTATCTACCTCAGTGTAATGGAAGATGATCGCACGATTTCGTGGATTGGTTGATGTTAGACATCAGAGGTCTAGTGTTTAAGCGTTCGAACGCGGGACTGAAGGCCCTGGGTTCGTGGATGCGCACTGCTGAGGAGTCCCACAATAGGATGAAACTGCCGTTTAGTGCTTTCAGGTTTTTTATGATGTTCCAACATCAATCTATTCATGATCTCAATCAAAAACCTTATAATATTCACAATCCTATACCGAGCGATTAATAAGTTTTATTCGAGTTCGTTTTAATTTGCCATTGATATTTATTAGCGATTGGTTTCATTTTGTAAAGATTGCTATTGAATGGTTATTGTGAATTAACACGAACTAATTGAAGTTAGAATTGTTGCTGTTCAATACCTTGGGGTTAGACATGATGATTTATAGTATTGGGTTTGATTCCTGATGAGGTCGTAAGTGTGCTTAGGTGGAAAGAAATGGCTGTTCATTGATTCTCACTTTAAAATGGTTGTCAACTGGGATCAATCTGTAATGATTACCAACCTTATAGATAAGGATTTGCTTTGAAGGAGAAAGATATTACGTTTAGTAACCAGTATTAACGAGTAAACAAATGATTGATATTTTAATTTCGAACATAGGACTGTTTAATTTAATTAGAACGGTAAGTTAATCTGGATTTTTAGTAGGAGTTTAGAGAGATTATTAAATTTCATTGAAAACACAAACCGATCTAAGTTAAACCAACAGTGAATACCTAGAAGCACTCGACGGCTTTTTCGTTCTAATATGAGCATCACGAACACTATCCTCAATGCGGGACTTGAACCAAGGACCTTCGGTCCCACGCATGAAACCCCAATTTCTGGGTCATTGAGCCAGCATTCGCGAACAGTATGGTGGATGCTCCCCACTAAGAGATCATCTAGTGATTCCGCGTTTTCTGTGGTGGTCTAAATGGGATCTGTTCATGATTTCTCTGTGATCTAGATTTTTATTACTGTTGAAACGTAATATAATTTATATTTTCGAACATCTGTATGTTGCAAATGAAAAACATATAGCTATCTTCAGTGAAACTTAGTGTACCATTAAAATTAGTAAACAAGTCATATACATCAAAAGGTTTTTTTGGATATTATGGTTATCTTAATAGTTGAGTCAATTAAAGCTAGATCACCATGGAAAACCTGAAAGCACTGGACTGCCGTTTCGTCCTGTTGTGTGATTCCTCAGAAGCGCGTATTCACGGACGAATAAAGACTCAAAATTCATAAAGTCAATATTTTTTCTGTAGTTGAATAAGTCTCAATCTGTCAAACGATAAGATTAGTGACATGATATATGAAAGTCTTGAATTGAATCTGGTTTATGATTTTTCAGTATTCTCTCGTTTGTATTGTTTCTAGAATTGATGTCCATATGTGAATGAAATAGCTTAAAAATTACAAAATCTTTTTTGTTTATGTTCTATGAGTGTCTTCAGGTAATGAATAAGTGATCCGTTTTATTGAATCCATGAATATACTACACAATCCACATATATATACCAGGTTCTCTACACGGTATACGACTGACTGATCATTGGTTATAAAACCCATAAAGCTTTACAGTTTCAGTGTTTTAGAAAATGTTTACCCCAGATTAAGATTTTCTTCACCAGAGATCTTCAAATATTTACTTTAAGACAAACTGCTTAGAATTTATCACGCTGACACATCACAAACGTTTTAGATAGACGTCGAAAGAGAAAGAGAGAGAATGTGTGTGTGTGCGATATATTGTAATGTATTAAATGATATTGATATATATTAAAAATGAATAATAAAACTATTTAATTACTTATTTATAAGAAATATTTGAGTTAGTACTTTAGTAGTCATTCAGTTTGAAGTCAATGACATTGGACGATTGTGTTATTGACTAGATTGTCGATTAGCTCGCCACTTTTAGTGGCCCTTTATCCTGACTTTAATTAATTCGTTTGATGATTGAATGAGTGTTACTGAAATATACATATTGTCAATCTTCGTATCGACTTAAATCGCGTTAAGTCAAATACGAGAATCAATTTTGAATGAATTTATTTCATAGAATCGTTGATTTAGATAAACGATCGGTGAGAAACGAAGTGAAGAGAGTGAAGCGAGATGATGCACAGTGGAGAAGGCATTTGAGCCAATTCAATTTTATCAAGCGTTAATCGCTATTTACAATCAGAACAAAAATAAGCTACAGGCATGTAATCAATAGGATAAGAAGTGTACACACATACGCTCATACAAAAACACTCAAGATTGATCAATGAATAATTGACATGGTCAAAATGTGACTAAAGAACAATGGATAAACTGACCTGTCAAGAAGCTAGAATAAGTTGTGTGGGTTTAACATATCAACGGACAATCCAAGATTGACCACTTAATTCAGTTTTAATCTAGTTGTCTTCAAAGATAGATGAAGGATTTTTGCTAGACAAATGAATTATTTTGAGAGAAGCTGTTATGACTTTATGTCCGGCTTTTTTGCATGTGATTTATCCACCAATAAAAACACGACATACAATCTTGGCACTGTGCCAAGCCAATAAAGTTCGACCGCTATGAGCAGCCTAGCGTCCTTATTGGTCCTAGTTCCGCCTAGCCCGTCCACTTGAGTCCAGAATACCAATACCAGCTTCCACTATGCGAATAGAATCGTATCATTTATTTCAGAATACTGGGTTTATATATCAACCAAACAGACCGCAACGCACTATTAAATAGGAAATAACATTTGTACAATATTTGGCCAAATGTGGCTGCAAACGTGGGAGGCAATAGTCAATAAACTGAACATAGTTTAAGAACCGTAAATCGTATAATGATAAATTATAGGTCCATATAAAGCTTATAATAAGAGGAATATAAATATACATAATCTAATTATTGAATAGTTATACTATAAGAATATTTATAGAATATTAGTTCATTAATAGTCCTCTGAAGTTACCCGTAATTTAGTCTTCACTCGGATATAACAGAAGCATAACTGTCGAACACATTTATCCTATACTTCTAAATTTGAGTTTGGTTCAACAAGACAAACAATAGAGTACATTGCTGCAAATCATTAAACAACTGTAAAACATTAACTCAAATGGTTTATTTCTAAATAGACTTTATTCATGTTCTACTTTCACAATGAAACATTCTTCAATCACTTTTCCTACAATAATCATAATTTATATGTTATCTGTTTCCATTATTATATCCATTACAGCCATCAAATGTTTTATTGGATTCTGATTGTTCAGTAAAATTATGTGATTTTGGTTTAGCACGTTCATTAAAAGGTCGTAATATGAAATATGAATATAATAATGGTAAAATCAATTGTAAAACATTATTACCTGCATTAACTGAATATGTAGCAACACGTTGGTATCGTGCACCAGAAATTTTATTAGCATGTCATGATTATACAAAAGGTGTTGATATATGGAGTTTAGGTTGTATATTAGGTGAAATGTTAATTGGTACACCATTATTTCCTGGTACATCAACATTAGATCAAATTGGACGTATTATGGCTGGATTACCAAAATTAAGTAGAGAAGGTAATGAATTTTTATTGAACAATTAATTATTGTGAAAATTCCCATTTTGCCATTTGTACCTTCTTGATGATGGTTGTAGTTGTTATCGAAGTCTCAGCTGCATACATTAGAACTGTCTTGACGTTCTTATTGAAGATTGTGACTTTGATATTGATTGAAAGTTGTTTTGAGTTGCATATATTTGTCAATTATCGGAATGCTGCTTTTGCTTTTCCAATCCTTACCTTTACGTTTGCATTCGATCCTCCTTGTTCATCGATGATTCTTCCCATCTTTCAGAGTTTTGCCGGCAACTGTGATTGGGTTGGTGTTCTCCGTGTTGTACTTGAGGACCTTGGTTTTCCCCTTATGTCTGTTTAGGCCTGGCTACTAATCTACCAATATATATATATATATATATACTGACGAACTGTATAAAATTAATATAACCAATTATAACGTGATGCTTCTACATATCCATAGATTTGGACATCTCTTTCTTATAATTTAGCTTATAAGTAGTTCAAATCAGAACTCGTTTGGTTTGTAACTAATCTGGTATCCGTTCGTTTAGACTATACGAACCGCCAAATATGCTGAAATGTATGCTAACTATATACCAATAACACTTCACTCAAGATAGAGATATCTTTGAATTGTACTTTTGAGAATAAGATCAGCAGAACAATATTCATAAATACCAAGATATCATTGTTTTTATGTTGTTTAATAGAAAAGTAGTCGTAAACACATACATTTAAATTTATTCAGAAGTAATGTATCATTGACGTGTCTCGATACAACAATTTATACCCATCTGACTTTACAGCGATTGTTAAGACTCTGGTTTCGACCTCATATGAGGTTGAAATGAGGTGCACTACTAATTCAAAATATCATGGTTAAATGAAACAGTAGTTCCATACTTCTTGGATTTTAGTGAATTGCAGTCTTGTTAGTGTTTAAATCCCAAAATGCCCTTAGCAAAATCACCAGTGGAAACCTGGGAGCACCGAAACACTACTTTATCCCAGTGTTGAACTGTCCATCAGTTTATATCTTCGACTCCACAACCTGAGATTGAACTCAGGACTTTCAGTCTCACGAGCGAATGCTTAAACTCTACACTACTCAGCCAGTATCCGTTAGTGTTGTCTTACGCCAATCAATCGACGATGTTGGATGACTCTTATCCATTAATTGCGGTGGATAACTGTCTCACACTCAACACGGGTTGAACTGTACTAACAACTGAATCAGTATCTGTCGTTGCTTTTTGATGAAACGCAAGAGGAATCTTTACTTCCAGAGAGGATTGTTAGAGTTTCAGATTGTGAATTGACCCAAAGAACACAATAGACTAATTCTAATGAGGAAATCATAATTAAGTACATTGAGGAAGTTGAGTTGCTCAGAAAAAAAGATCATAAGATTGTAAACAAGAAGTGTTTACCATGTATTGTAAATACAAATGTGAAAGGAAATGTGTAATTACTTTTTTTAGCTTTAATTATGATATTTCTTGTGACGGTCGATTAATGTGCAGTGACTTATCGATCAAATCAAAGACGCCCAAAACACGTGCGAGCAGTTTAGAGTTCTGATTGGTCCTGCTTCCTGCCTAGTCCAGCAAGTTAAGTCCAGAACACAAGTTTCAGTCCATAAAAGGATCCCAAAGTTATCATTCATCATGTTTCTCGGGTCCTAACACCAGGATTATATAAAAATCTTTTTTTAAAATTTAAATAAATATCATTAGAACAATCAAATGTTAAGGTTTAGATTCTTTTTTGTTATGTGGTTAAGGGTACACTATGTTGATTCAGATGAAAAAATGATGTAGAATAATAAGTAGTATGTAGATTAGTGTATGGATTAGATGTTGGACTATCTTAGTAATTAAATAAATAAGTATGGATGATGATTAGTAGTGGAATTCACGACCCACTTTTCGTCCTATTTCGAACTCGTCATATGGATGTACCTGGGGCTCTGGGACTCAAACCCACTACTGTTCCCTTCAAATATCATCGACTATCAGCATTCAGTAGATAAGTGGATAACGCGTTAGAATTTGAAAAGAATGGTACTGGGTTTGAGTCTCAGAGCAAACATCAACTCTGCTAGCCACCATCTATCTTTGCTTATAAAGCTTGTGAATTTAGACAGTATCGAGACCATCCAAAAAGGAATCACATATGAAATAAGAGACTGATCAATGGCATACCTAAACATCAATAGGAGAATTGAAGAAAACAATACCAATTGAATATAAAATTTCATTGTATAAAACATTTTAATCAGTTAAAACTAATCAGTAATGTTTAGTCATATCATCTACCATAGTTATATGTCCATTTAGACACAAGGTCATCATGTTGAATTATAGTAAGATAAATTGTCAATTTTTGATATCAGTAGAAAATTCTAGAAAATAATATAGTGTATGCCACTGATATCGACAGATATTAGTAGTATGTATCGTCAGTCGAACGTGAAATGGCTGACGAAAGAATGTTAAGAAGATCAAAGAGAATAGAACAGTAACAGAGAATGATTAGTGTGAAAATGAAGGAACCATCAAGTCTAAGACATTTGATTGACACTTTGCGAATAAAATATCTACTGTATTGATTCTTAGATTTTACTAAGAGATTCTGTAATTTTGTATTCAAATCCATTTAATTGTCCCCCACTTGTATGTTCTCGTTCACTACAATAAGGTATCGTTAACTTTCTTATCATAATATGGAGACATAAAAACATAACCTTAAAATAAGAGAATAAACTAAGATTAAATAATCATTTGAAAAAGAGACAACAACAACAACAACATCTAGAAGATCATGCTGTGAAATGATCATCAGATCGAATTATTTACTAATAAATCTCTTTAGAATATTACTCTCAACTCTTGAATAGGCTATTAATATCTATATATGAATGAATTTACAACAATAACTCTTCTCTCTCTCTCTTTCTCTCTCTTCATTGTAATCATACTGATACCCTATCGTGTTGAACTTGAATTGAACTCAATCAATTGAGTACTGGATTAGTTTAGATCACAGTATGAAATCGGTTCATTAGATCAGCTGAAAAACAAAAACTAGCTAATATTCCATGGAAATTTGATTTCTTTTATATAAGTCATTTGTACTAAAACGAATAGATTATTTTAGTTGTATGTCTATGAAATAGTTAATTCTTAAGTCAAGTAGTAGTTTAGTAGTTAGTTAAAGCAAAGATTAGATTTCTAAAGTAAGTAGTTACCGATTAGTTCAAGGTTATTTATAGTCCAAATGAATAACTATACATCAATCTGTTAAAAAAACAGATTCTTTTAAATAGGGGATTGGCTGTGGTAAAATTAAATGGAATATACAGTAGTAATAGTAGTAGTCGTAGTCGTCGTCGCCGTCGTCGCCGTCGTCGTCGTATTCGTAGTAGTAGTAGTAGTAGTAGTAGTAGTAGTAGTAGTAGTAGTAGTAGTAGTAGTAGTAGTAGTAGTAGTAGTAGTAGTAGTAGTAGTAGTAGTAGTAGTAGTAGTAGTAGTAGTAGTAGTAGTAGTAGTAGTAGTAGTAGTAGTAGTAGTAGTAGTAGTAGTAGTAGTAGTAGTAGTAGTAGTAGTAGTAGTAGTAGTAGTAGTAGTAGTAGTAGTAGTAGTAGTAGTAGTAGTAGTAGTAGTAGTAGTAGTAGTAGTAGTAGTAGTAGTAGTAGTAGTAGTAGTAGTAGTAGTAGTAGTAGTAGTAGTAGTAGTAGTAGTAGTAGTAGTAGTAGTAGAAGTAGTAGTAGTAATATCGTATCCTATTCTTCATTGATCATTGTTTCAGCAATTAAAACTCAGTAAGGTGTGTATACCAATCTAAACTCATGCAACGGAATCTTAAAATGAGTATTTGGGTGTCAAGATGAAGAGTTTGTAGCCTAGGGAAGCATAAGTATAACATGTGCTTCTCTTTAAATATCATCAAGTGGTAGATGAGAAGTTATAAACAAGATGTGCTATTAGAAGAAGTTGATTAAGTTCCTAGTCGTGATTTCAAGATTCACCCTCTGGTTTTCGTCAAAAGAAACCATTTGTTTACTTAATGGTTCCTTTACTCCAACAAAAACGTTCTTGTTATCTCACAAAACTTTTCACTCACATTGCTGGTTCAGAAAGTGTTTACAAGTATATATATATATATATATATATATATATATATATATATATATATATATATATATATATATATATATATATGAATAAGGCCTTGTGGATCGTACCAAAATGATTCTTATTAATTTAAATGTTAAATTGAATTATTAATTATAATTAGATGATCAGAAAACGAATTCATATAATCAGCGTAGGGTTGTGGAGACTATTAAGTTTTTGATTGAAACCACCACCTAAAGTCTGGAATCACTAGATAGTCGTTTCGTCCCGTTGTGGGACCCCTCAGTAGTGCGTATCTACGATCCTGCTCGCGGAATTTGAACCCAAGGCCTTCAGTCTCGTGCGTGAACATTTAACCTCCCGACCACTGAGCCGCTCGCGAGATCGTGGATGTGCATTGCTGAGGAGTTTCACAATAGAACAAAACGGCTCTCCAGTACTTCCAGGTTTTCAGTGGTGGTCCAACATCAATCGGTTCATGATTTCAATCAAGGGATTCATATATATAATTTATCCAGTTACAACGTCATTTGAATTCAATAACTATTTACAAACTCTTATCATTTTTTTAGACATGGAAAGTATTAGAAGTCCATACAGCATTTCAATTTTGGAAAAAACCCATATCAAGTAAGTGAGATATTCTGAAAGTAATAATTAATATCGGTTGAGTTGTACCAATGAGTGAGTAAAACGATGAATGAGTTATGATTTATGGGCTTGAAACTTAAATGTAGTAACAGTTACATGTCTGTTACTTACTTGTTTACTTACTTACTGACTTACTCTTGTTACTCTTCGTGGAGCATAAGCCACTGATCACGATTCTGTATCCCGTTCTATCCTGAGATCTCTATTACAGAAACTTTGTGGAAAAGTGTTAAC